TATTTGTCGATTTGTTTTCCTGAGAAACTATCTTGTAGATAACAATATGTAAAACAACAAACATTGATAATTTCCTACCACTTTGTCTGTAATTTGGTAAGCCCCCCCCATTACTGTTATCCTTCTTTTACTCTTTAAAATAATAAAAAAATTTTTAAAATGCTGAAATAATAAGATTTTTTTAATTTAAAAAAACAAAACTAACAAGTTTAAATATAACATGATTTCTCTTATGTGAGAAACCCAAAGTGTAAATAAATTAAAGAGCAAAATAAAAGATAATAGGAAACGGAGAGATAGGTCTTTTGCAAAAGGAAAGCACACCAAGAGATGGAGGCAGGGTGGAGTGCAGCAAGGGGAGGAGAGTAGGAAAGAGTGAAGGTGTGTTGTGTGCATGTACTGACTCCCCATGATGAATGTGTTATTTATGTACTATAAAAATGTGCTAATAAAAACTTATTAATGCTTTATTTTATGATTCAGAATTGTTCTTAGTGTGTATTCCATATGTACTTGGAAAGAATGTGCAATGTGTTACTGTTGGATGGAATATTCTGTGAATATCAATCAGTGTAAATGGACTGATTTAGTTATTCAAGTCTTCTATATTCTTACTCAATTCGTCTAGTTGTTTTAATGATTAGTGAAAGAGTATTAAAATATCCAACAATAAAAGAAATTTATTTAGTACATATTGATTGTGTTCTTATAAAACCATTTAAGGAGTCACAATTTATTTATTTATTTTTTTCCTTTTTTTTGTTTTTTTTTTTCTGATACCGAGAATCAAACTCATGACCTTCTGCTTGCCAGGCAGGTGCTGTGCTGCTGAGCTAAATCCCCAGCCCAGGAGATACAATTTAAATTATTGTTATGGTATAAAGTGAGTATTGCTTCTTCTATCTGACACTTGAAATAGTCCAGTGTCAGAGATTTTAAGCAACTTGCTTGATATGATGAAATAGCAGGGGTAGAATTTAAACTCAGAGTTTCCACATTCAAAGCCTCTTTTATGTGCTTAACCTTGTGACCGTTTATGTTCAGGTCTGAGAGGTGGAAGAAGGTTTGAGAGAATGTTAAATAAAAGAGAGGACAGCTTTTCAGTGAGATGCAGCACTTGATTCTAAGTCAGTACCTCACATAGTCTCAGTTAGGAAGGTGTTTAATGAGGTTTGGAACATAATTAATGTTTGTCACCTTACAGCTTTCAAATATGTAGATAAATGCCTTGCGTTTTATTTGTTCATGACTTGAGATAAGGAACCATATAAATAATTCCTGTGATTGATAAGTTTGATCCTAAGAGTATTTCCATCTAGACCATAGTGCCTATAGCTTCATTACCCAAAGATATAGGTGCTAATTTGCTAAATGAATTCATTTATTTGTTTACTTTATTCATTATATTTACTTATTGTTGCATTTATTTAGCTTATTTTGCAATTTGTTGTCTTAGCATAGTTTTAAAAATAAAATTCCTTCTTAACTCTAGAGCAAATTCTTCATACTTACTGTTTACAGAATGTGAGACTACTGTGTATATCATTACACAGGTATACAGTATTAGTCAGCTTTCCCATTCCTGGGATGAAATATTGGACACCTACAACATAAGGGCATAGTAGTTTAAAATGGATCATGGCTTGAGGGTTTCAGTCCATGGTCTACTGGCTCAAGGAAGAAATGGGATGGCTGAAGGGCATGGTAGAGGAAACCTCCTTACCTCTTGGCAGACAGGAAGCAGAGAGGGACAGGAGGAGCTGAGAATAAGAACTCACCCTTCCAGGTCAGCTCCCAGGGACCACCTCCAACCAGGCTCCATCCCCCAGCAGCACATGGAGCTGAACTCACAAATGGGTGACTCACAGAGAAGTATAGCACCACTATGATCCAGTCACCTGGCAGAGGCCCTTTGTCTGAATGCATGAGACTTTGGGACACATTTCAAATCCAGACCATAATGGGAGGCGAAAATAATCAGGGGCCTTCGGTGTTAACAAAATATACTCTGAGATTAATAGGAGACAGAGGTGACATCCAGGTTCCTTTTAGGAAGGAGCATCATCGCGCTCCCTGTGCTGCACCACTTACTGGTTCCAGTTTCAAGACTGACCCGCTCATAATTTTTGGAAAAACATCTAATTCTGAAGTGTGTGCCCTTCCAAAGTTCCTATATTGATTTCCCCACATTTGTTTTCTGATGTACCCTCATTTCCATGCATGCCCTGGGTCTGAAAATTCTGTCCACATTTAGTACAAAAGTGTCATCCAGCTCATAAACAGAAGAACAAAGAGTGGCTGTCCTGAACCAAAACATGGGGATTTGGGGTCCAGATGTGACTTTGTTTATGACTGATTTTAAAAAGTGCCAGGGATACAGCTCAGTGGTAGAGTGCTGGGCTACCATTTGTGAGGCTCTGGGTTCAATCTCCAGTACTGTAAAACAACCACCATAACAAAAACCAGGAAATTCTACCAAAAACTATTAGTACGTATGATTCATGATCAATAATGTTGAATAATGGAATTATGTTACTTATCTGTCTTTCCTGTGGAGTACAAAGGAAAACGTGCTTGTTTTTTAACTTCTGGATCTAGTATGAAAGCCTAAGTACAGTATTAGCAGGGCTTCACTGTATCTCTGTACTTGACTAGTGGTTTTATCTTATAGATTCTACTTTGCTGACATTCTTACCCTTGCCCTACAGTTACTTCTGTTGTACCAGAAGGTAAGGACCTTGACATTCTTCCCTTGTAGAATTCTGTACAAAACTGAGCAGGCATCTTTTTCAGAGAAGGATGATTCAGTTCATGCTGTTGAAATAACCTGGAGTGAAGTCTCCATTCTTTGAGCCCCAGCTGTGTGTCCTTGACCATGCAGGAAGGCAAGCTGCTGTGCTCCTCCCTGGCCTCCGGGCGTGGATGCACTAACTACAGCCACTTGCTTTGGATGCCGTACTGTAAACACTGGTAGAAACAGTCTCTGTCCTCTCCGCCACAGGAAATCTGTGTGATGTCCAAGATGTTCAAGTAGGAGAAAAACGGAAGCATTTGAGAGGTTAATTTGAAAAATAAAGACTTTGAAAATATAATTGTGATGATTTTTGTTGAATGCCAAAGAGGGAAGAAAAGTTTCATCATCTTCTCAACCCCTTTTAAAAGCACATCCAGCCACCTGTCGCTTGTCCTCAGAATTATTGCCTAAGTCAGCTGTCTTGTTGGACAATGAAGCCCTGAGAGGACTGCCCTTTCTTTCTCAAAGCCATTGAGAAGCAGAGGGAACTTAGACCCACAAGCCCAACACTCTCTTCTGCTGTCTTCCATGTCTTCCTCTTGCCTTCAGGGTGGGCAGGTCTGAGGAGTGTTCATGTTGGAAATGAAGGAGGTGCTGCCTCTGGGAAGATAATATTAACCTGGTTCCACCTGCTACTGCCATTTAATGATCTGCCTATGTTCCTTGATAGCTGTTCTGGTCCTAAATTGCCCTATTCTCTAGATATCCAAGTTACAAAGGCCATAGATCTTTGGTTCTCTTTCAGCTCTGTAGAACACTGGAAGGTGTTTTCATTTCTGAAACCCTTTTTCTTGTGACAGTATCAAAGTGTCTGTGTAATTACTTCTGTCATTTCACAGCAGGGTTTGCTGTGGTAAGCATGAACTGGAGCTTGATACTAGGGTTGGGTACTTGGATGAACACTCTAAGCAATGCAGACAGGAAAATTTATAGCACTAAATACATAAATTAGAAAAATAGTGCAGGTCAATGAAATCATCTTTTCTTACCTCAAGAACAAGAGAAATAGAATAAACCCAAAGCGAGCAGAGGAGAAGAAATAATAAAGAGCAGGAATCACTGAATTCAAAAACAAAAAATAGCTGGGGATATAGCTCAAGGGCACAAGCACCTGCCTGGCAAGCACAAGGTCCTGAGTTCAATTCCTGGTACAAAAAAAAAAAAAAAAAAAGAAAGAAAGAAAGAAGAAAAACAGAAAATAATTAGAGAAAAATCAGTTTTCCCTAATTTTTAATTTTTAGTTTTTCAATTTTCAGTTGAAGCAGCTGGTTCTTTGAAAAGTTCTACAATAGTGATAAATCCTAACAAGTTGACAAAAACAAACAAAAGTAATTAAAAACAAAAAGCTCTCAAAACATAAAATAACAGTATTAGAAATGAACCAGAGAATAGAAGAGCAGACCTTGCAGTCACGGAAAGAATAAGAGAATGCTAGAAACAACTCTGTACAAGTCAGTTTCACAAGGAAAGAGAATAATAATTTCTCAAAAAATAATCATAAGCTACCATAATCCACACAATATAAAATAAATAAATTGAATAGCTCTGGAGTTATTATGGAGATTGAATGTGTAATTTGAAAGTTATTCAGAGAAGAAATCCCCAGGTCTAGATGATTTCCTTGGAGAATACTACCAAATATTTGAAAATTGAATTAATACCAATTCTACATAATTATTTCTGGAAGACAGAAGAGGGAGGAGGGCTTCTCAATTCATCTTGGGTTATCAAACAAAGGTAATCCAAAGAAAAAATGGAAAGTTATAGAGCAATCTCCCTCATCAGTACAGACACAGAAAGCCTTTTAAAATGGCAAGCAAAATTTAACAATAGATAAAAAGAATTTTAGTCTCTGGAATAGTTTTAATTTTTCCTTAAAGCTAAATATACAAGTATTACATAATTCAGCAATTGTATTTAGACACTTAACCCAGAAAAATAAAGACTCATGGTTACACAAACACTCATACACAAATATGTATGAGGCTTTTGAGGGTTAGGAGCCCAAAATTGGAAATAAACAATCCAGACGTCCTTCATGAGGTAAATAGTTAAACAAATTGTGATACACTCATATCATGGCCTCCTCAGAGGACAACAGCCCAAAGTGTTAATCACACAACAATTTGAACGAATCTCCAGAGAACTATGCTGAGTGAACAAGTCAGTCTCTACAGGTTGCACACTGAATGTCTTGACAGACTAAGAAGAACAAACCAGACTGACAGTCCCCAAAGAGTAAGAGAGGAGTGGAGGCCAGAGGGAAGCAAATATGGCTGGCAAAGGGCAAGTGGGAGGATCTGTGGTAATGAGCATGTTCTGTCTTTTTTTAGGATCAAGGTCAGCATCTTGCTAACAATATCGTATTGTAATTTTGCAGGACATTACCACTGGGAGGGCTTGGTAAAGGGTACATGAGGTCTTTTTGTCTCATTTCCTACAGCATCATTTGAGTCTACAATTACCTCAAAATTTTGAAAATTAAGTAGACAATAATGTTTAAAAAATTGTGGTTATTGATAAAATGATAAATATCTCAGGAGTAATGCATGTATGAGTCAAAGAAAATGTTCATTCCTTTAATGTTTGCTTTCTGTATTTATAGAATTTTGAAAATTACTTTGATTTTAGAAAATCTAAAAAGCAGAAGATGATTTGTTTGTTAGATAAAGGGTAGATATATGCATTAAAACAATCTTCAAACTTTCAATTTTATTTTCAATTAGCATTAATAATTGTATAAAGTAATTGGGTTTAATATACTTCAATATATGTATACAGCACACATTAATCAAATTCAGCCTCCCTTTATCTGCCTTCCCCCTATCTCAATGTCTACTAATCACTTTTCAGCATTTGCGTTGACTTTTAACCTTCTGCACATGAGAGGGACTTGATACTTGTCTTTCTGTGCCTGCAGTATTTCATTTAACATGGTGTCTTCCAGTTCTAACTTTATTTTCTTTATTCATTCATCCTTTGGTGGGCATCTAGATTGATGGCATATTTCAGCTATGTAGTGGTGCAATAAATATGGGCTTATGTGTGTTTCTTTGGTGTCGTGGTTTAGATCTAGATGGCGCCCAAAGCCTCATGTGCTCATAGGTGGAGCTTTGGGAGGGATTGGATCATGAGTGTGTGATACTAGATTAGTCCACTGATGGGATTTTAGCTGTGTGTGATGTTGGGAGGTGAAGCCTGACTGGATGAGGTGGGTCACTGGGAAGTGGCCCAAAAAGTCTGTCTCCCTCCCTCCTCTTTTGATCTCTGCCTTTGCTTCCTGACTGCTCTGCCATTGACTGTTTCTCCTCTGCCATGTCCCTCTGCCATGCCATCCTGCCTTGGGCCAGTGCACTATAGACTGAATCCTCTATAAACTGTGAGCCAATAATAGACCTTTCCTCTTCAGAGTTGTAGCTGTTGGGTATTGTCTCAGTGATGAGAAATTAACTGAGACATTTGGTATGCTAAATTTACTTCCTTTGAATGGATACCCAGAAGTTGGAAACCTACCTTAACCTGTGTGCTGTTCTCCATAGTGAGTATACAGATTCATATTCCCACCGACAGTACGTGAGTTCTCCTTTCTCTGAATTCTTGCCAACATTTTACTTTTTGTTGCTTGATAGTCGCTTTTCTAATAAGGGTGAGATGGTATCTCAATGAAGTTTTTTATTTTCATTTTCCTTGTGACATTTTATTAGGCATTGTTTCATATATTTGTTTGCCATCTGTATTTCTTCTTTTGAGAAATGTTTATTCATAACATTTGCTCATTTTTAATTGAAATTTTTTATTGGTAAGCTCATTGAATTCCTTATATATTCTGGATAATGATCCTTTTTAAAGTGAATCATTACTACTCATTTTAAATTTAGAAATATTTAGCTCTCCTTGCTTTCATACTAATGAATTTTCATTAGAATATGAGAGAATATTTTTCTGTATTTTAATTGCAATTTAAGATTTAAAGAGGAATTCTGGATCTGTGGGCTACAGTATTTTTACGGAGTGAGCATTCTGATTTCTGAGCCTAGAGGCATTCATGAATGCAGGGGACATAATATTTGGACTTTATTTTCTATTATTTCAATGATAACATTTGTTTTTCATAGAAATTGGCTTTCTA